AATTGGTCATTCCCAGTGGTAAGAAATTGAAACGCGTTCTAACTTCAGTACAGGCACTGTGCATTATATCGTCGAACCGAAAACCGGGTCAGTGGCTAAAGTTATTATTTCCTGCCTATGAAAAATGGTGCGGAACTGTTTAGAGTGTAGCGAGGGGCTCTGGAAAGACGGATCCTAGGAACGCCCATCATGGAGAAGCTGCGAAATGAAGGAATAAGACAACGCATGGAAATACGGGGCCTAGCACAAACCTCACAAAAAAGAAGAAGACATCGGGGAGTTCATATCACACGAGTGACAAACGATGGATGGATTTCAGCAGTAACTGATCGGTACCCAAGGGGCTGCAACAGCCTAATTAGACCACCTCAGCTAAGATGGAACGATCAACTGAAATGAACAAATACAGTACAAACAGTATGGTCAATCGGTGGGAAACCAGTTCCGAAATTTCAGCTACCGTCTCTCGCACTTTCCTCAAACTGGACAAAGTTGATTTTCAAGGTACTTTCTGTTGCTCGCAGCTGTTGTAGCGTTTGGAACCTTAACGCGCTTCGGAGCAAGCAATAAGGCTGAGGTAATAAGAGTAGGCAATATCTTTGTGTAAGGTCTCTTGCATTTGCAGATGATATCGCATTGCTTCTGACAAAAGAGGAACGAGCTTCCTAAATCATGCTTTTTTGGCATTCTTCTGGATGATCGTCCACGCATGAACGAAATACTCAATCCATGTAATGGAAGAGAAATATGGAAGCTTGTGGCGACAAATTGCAAGTGACAGACAAGAATGGTTATCGAGACTAGACGAAGGCTATCCGGTTCCATTATTGTAAAAGATCAGTTAGGAATGTCAAAAAAGAACAATTGGCCGCTTTTGTTCTTTCAGTAACCGGATTCTCAGGATCCGGTATTCTCAGAAAGTCTCCAGACCGTGTAATGCGGACAGTAAATGTGTAAAGTCCAGTACGAACTGGAATCTCGCTGAAGATTGCTCTGATTCCATGTTGCAATGATATGCACCTTCCGGAACTTCGGCTGTAATGGATAACTATTTTAGGACCACTGCGGTCTACCAAAATTGCACAAAATTACAGATTATAGTTTAAAGTCGCCTTTGAGTTTAATTTAAAATGTCGTCAATTATGAGTGCGATTTAATCTTTCTTCAGACTTCGCTTTAAGCTTCTTCTGCCAGGAGGAAACGGATCACCGATTGCACTGATGGCCACCACTTGACTGAGTCGTTTTGCCTGGTTTAAAGTAGTCGCGCGGTCGCTTTGCTGACAGCAAAAAGGAAGTTTGTCGTGTTCATTAAGTTCTTTGCTCCTGCACACACGATAACAATCGTCGATGCCGCTGTGATGACTGTCTACGACGAGCAGGAGTACATATTTAGCCTTCTGTCGAAGTTGTACGCGGAGATTCCATTGTCAGAGAGCGAAATCTCCCGTATTCTTGCCCGAGTCGGCGATGTCTTTAGGCACGAGAGTACGCTGGTCGAAGTGGGCGTGCCAGTGACCATTTGCGGCGATATTCATGGCCAATTCAACGATCTGATTCGTCTGCTACACAAAGGAGGGTGGCCCGAAAACAATCGATATCTCTTCCTTGGTAAGAATTAATTTTTTCCCCATATCTTCAAGCATTTACGTAACACATGTCATCGTGCTTGTAACGACAGGGTACTCTAGACACAAACTCGACGAACAGGCTGGAAACCAGTCCCTACTGGCAATTTTCGTGTCATCTGCGAGCAAACGTGTCATAAATTTTTTTTAATTTTGCCAGACACGCGAGCTGCTGAAAACTTAGGCACATTTTTTAATATTCGTCAGTAAAAAATTACAATGAAGAAACCTTAATGAGCTTCATTTGCCATATCGTCACCTGTCTCGCAAGGAAGATGATTTTTTTGGGTTTAACCAAAGTACCCAAGGATCGCAGCATGACTTTTACTTTAGCCATCACAAATTCCTGACGCTAATGCATGCAGCACGTTCGCACAGCCTATAATTTGCTGGGCATGCTCGGTGAGTTCTGGTGATAAGAATATGGTCAAGTTGGTTGACGCATCAGAGGAAGGCCACGTGATTTAAAGCAATGATTTGTGAGGAAAACGTGTGCCGCCAACAAGTAGATCGTGCATCTCACACATTTCTATTAGTCATTCCTTGTTATCACTCATCACGTCAATATCATGTGATCCCAGGCATCTGCGCAACTCATTTTTTGCTCCCACTTTCGCCTTGAAATAAATCATCTAATAATCAATGTATCATGGATTTCGCACTGTTGCAGCAGCGGACTCAGTACGGCATAAAACTCATCATTCTCTGCCTCTACAGCAGCTTCGATAGGGACATAGCAACCAGCTAGCCTAAGGCCAAGTCCTTCGTGCCTGGACATGAATCTTGTCACAGTAATTCGGCCATATACGACGATTCGATGTACGCAGAGTTCCTTCTGCATTTTTGCTGACCGCCAGTGCAACACCCTTGCTATGAGTTGTTGTTATTGTTATCATCGTCATCTGGAATATCAAAGTCAAGGATGAAGTAACCAGATTAATTATATCTGACGCTTTGGCTTCTCAACATGGTCTAGGTGCTGGTCGCTGCTGCGGCAAAGGTCATGTTCTTCGTCACAGGCAAATCCGCCTCTAGAAACTGCCTTATGGTGACTAACGCTTTCTGTTGCATCCGTGTATGGTAAAAGCCATAGCCATTCCGATGCGTCACAACGCTATTACGAAGACAACGCTTAACTGTCCGGATTCCAATGCGGTTCAGTTCTTTTATACCCAGTGGCGTCTGTCCAAGTCTGTTTAATGTTTATACATTCCATGTGGCAAACTATGTCAGCCATTTAAGTGACCAAATCTATTTTCATTTGTCCTAATGACTTTCATTATCCATCCTCATAGCTAGTGAGACTTCCGGGTTCGTTACCAATAAACCTGAAATTAGAAAAGGAAAATGCAAAACCGAATGAGTATCAATCTTTAGTGCGATATTTGTGACTGTTTCAGTAAAATCAGACAAATGTGTAAATAATGAGGACTCCGTCCTGAGGACAGGAATACGTAAACATTTGTTTAAAGACCTGAAGATCCCATTTTCCAAGGCGCATTTTTGCAGGAGATTACGTTGACCGTGGAACGAAAAGCATCGAAGTCATATGTCTGATGTTTACCTACAAGATTCTTTTCCCGGACACGTTTTTCCTTCTTAGAGGAAATCATGAATGTCAGAACATAAACCGCGTTTACGGCTTTTACGACGAGTGCTGTAGACGTTACAGTACGCGACTGTACTTGGATTTTCAGGTGAACGATGTCGAGGGTGTAATATCGCGAGGAGAAAGATCGTTACTTTCAGGTTGCTTTTAATCTGCTCCCCCTCGCGGCGTTGGTCGCCAGAAGGATGCTTTGCATGCACGGAGGTATCTCACCCGAACTGGCTAATTTGGACCAGATACGAAGCATCCGTCGCCCGTTAACGATTCCGGATTCGGGGCTCATCTGCGATCTGCTGTGGTCGGACCCCAACCGGCACTCGAAAGGTAGGCCGAATTTTAATGCAACTCGTACGACGGCAACCGCAGCGCTTTGCGCTTACAGGTTGGCAGCCGAGCTCACGGGGAGCAAGCTTCACTTTTGGTGAGGATGTAGTGGTCGAGTTTTGTCGGCGCATGAACATCGACATGATCATCCGAGCGCATCAAGTAATTAAGTTTAATTACAATAATTTTGAATACACCGCACAACTGCAACTCCTAATCCAGGCCAAGATCCTGAAACGGTTTTAGGTCAGAAAAAGGCAACAGATACCCACCAACGCAACATACAGCAACCGAGGATTTTGACCCCGTCGAGCTGAACATAAGCAACGACCATTCGGATCGAATGACACAAACATTAGGAAGGAGGTTTATTGAGTCAGTCAGCACACTGTCAATATTGGCACCACACTCAAACCATCTCTGTAAACATGCGAGTTCGCTCAGACCCGA